GGAGGGAAGTTAAAGAAAAGAAAGGAGGTTTTTGGGAAAAAAGTGTCCAACAGACTTGAGGAACGGAAGGTGAAGAGGCATACATCGGAAATTGAATTTATTCTGCATGGGAGATGGGTAGATGCCTGGTTTCTCCTTTGATTAGATGGTCAAAGTCATTTCTTTCCTTGTTTTAGGTTTTTTATGTCATGTTTCTTTTTTTGTAAGCTTTCCCATTCCTTCCGTACATAAAGAACCCCAATAATGACTAACCTTTGCTCTTAAAGTCTCAATATCAGCTTTCAAAATTCTATTGTCAACAGCTGCCACATCGTACTTCTGATTTACGTCTGTGAGACGCTTTAACAAAGTAGAGTGTTCAACCCTTAGTTGACCGACCTTTACAAAAGGAACCACATTTAGAAAAAATATTTAATAAGAATAAGAAAAAGGGAGAAATAACCCAAAACATATGAGAGCTAAACATTTCGCTGTACCTGTGTCTCAAGTTCATTCAAGTGAGCTTGTTTCCGTCGTCTGGAGCGTCTTGCTGATTCTCTATTCGACAACATCCTAGGCCACCATCAATGTCAAGTGAGTAAAGCTAGGACTGGGCTACAAATTGGGTAGAAGGATTGATTTTTAGCATAGGGCCTTCATTTTCTCTTCCTTCCTTTCTATAATTTGTTTATTTACTGATTAGAAATGAAAATTCTTCAATTAAGATAAGAATATTTACTAAAAAGAGTAAAAAGAAAGGATGGAAGATGAGATATCCTTCTGACCCAAAAGCCAATAGCGATGAAAAAACACACTTCGATAATAGCAACAATAAAAGAAAAGTTGTTTTACGTTAAAAAATGAACTGAAATGTGCATATCAAATCTCAACTCGAAATAAATTACAGAAATTTTCTATTTGGTGCTATTTTCCAGAATACTTGATCTGAACATGAGACTCGAACTATCTTTTTTTTTAACAAAGATACAAGCAGATTGTGGAGAGGATTTGATATAAGACTCTAATTTCCAGGTCAACAAGTTTTGCTCATGAAAAATGAACTCACATCATCAAAAAAGGTATGGTGGCAACAATACCTACTCTAAAAACTATACGGGGTGAAAAAAAAAAATAGAAGAGCATAAGAGAAAAACATCAATCCGAGTATGACCATTGCTTGAGTCATATTCTTAAGCTGGACAGTTCACAGGATTAACAAATTGACATAGCTCATAAGCAAGAACAAAAAGTTGCACAGAACAAACTAGAATTACCTCCTAGCGCGTCTTGCATCGGTAGGATCCATATTCTCAATGTTTTCAATGTCTCCTTCAAGCTCATCATCATCAGACTCATCTCTTGATGATCCACTGGTTGTTTGGGCGGCTTGTAGCCCTAGTTTCTTAGGCACTGCTGGTAAGGATGGGATCCCAAGTGGGCTACCATTAGCCTCACTTTCTTTTGTTGAAAAGCCCCGATCAGAACCTACAGCCACCATAGAGCAAAAGTGATATGACAGATATAGCACACAATTCCAATGATAAGATGGGACAAGATACATAAAGTATAGCGCTCTAACTTATAATATAAGATCACCTAAAAATATATTTAATGTTATCTTGGGCACATTTAACTAGAAGCTCTGTTTCTCAGAATGGAGCGAGACACGAATGGATGAACATACCAGGAGATGAACACCATCAAATATCAAACAAATGACAATCATGGAGCTATTGAAAAGAGTCCAGATATTCAATAGTACCAAAGTGGAGTGAATAAAGTCAGTTGCATATCATTTTGCCATGACATCTGACAACTTTCCAGACCATAATTCATAATTATGGAAACTCAATTTCAGAAGACAAAATCAACACTTGGGAGCAAGGGTGTTCAAAGGAATGTATCGACATTAAGGGTGTATTTGGGAGTGATTTTGGCACGACAAAATCAATTTTACCATTGCCAAAATCAATTCCATTTCCATTGATCATATTTAACAAATTAAAAAATTGATTTTAGGAAAACGTAAAATCACTTAAAATTAATTTTTAAATGTCACTTGGGTTGTGATTTTGGAAAATTAATTATTCATAAATCTCTTTTTTCAAAATCACTCCTTCAGTCATCATTCTCAAATACACCCTAAGAAATCTCCGTGCTTATTCACAAATTTGACAGGACGTACTTGATATTCTCTCAAGTACAAGAGGTTGCTCAATACTTTTTCCCACACCAACTAGAAAACCCCAAACGAAAGCCATAGATACTACAACTAGATTAACTACTCAATGAGCATTAACAATGATAAATCAGGGATATATAAAAATCCGTAGACTGCCTGACCGGAAACTACCTTGGCCCTGAGCGTGCGAACCAAATTGGAATCCATTCGATGTTTGCCCACGATGATCGGCTGCGTGGACTGGACCTTTGGGCTCCGAAGACGCGGCCTGCAATCCCAAAACGAAAACTTATCTTTCAAAAGAAACTGACGAAGTTCCTCAACTTTGTTCCAAAACACAATTAGACCTCAACATTTCAAAACACAAATTCATCAAACTACAATTCACTCAGTACACCTATCAGTTTCTAAAGAGAGGAGAAACAGAAATAGTCACCCGCGATAGCGCCACAGCCGCGCAAGCCATATCGAGCTGATTCTTCAAAAACGTACGGTACTGATCAGAATTTTTCCGAGCCATTTTCGACGGATCCAACGACGGAATTGGGTGAGGACGATCATGATCACAATCCGCCTTCTTGATCTCCACAATCTCATCATCGGCTTCGTCGCGCTTCGAAGTGGAAGACTGAGACGCAGGAGAGGCGACGTCGACCGGAGAAACCGCGACGCGATCCGAGGTAGTGGAAGGGCAACTATTCACCGGCAACGAAGAAACTTCCTCGAGAAATCTCTCGAACGCCCACTCGGACGGGCTTCGGTTCATCGTCAACGAAGGATCCGCCGATCGGAAAGGAGAATGCGACGGCGGAGAAGACGGAGGCGGCGGCGGAATCTGCCAGAAGGAATTGTCGGGGAGGTCTTCCGATGAGAAGAAAGTATGCATCTTTTTTTCTTTTTTCCTCCTTCGCTCTCAAAGTCCGATTTGTTTTCTTCGTTCGTACGCGCGTTTTCAATGTGGAAACGTCGCAGCGCGTGGGGAAAAATCAGGTGATTCAAGGCTACCATACTGTACCAATAGGAAACGCCCACGTGTAATATAATTGAATAATGATTACCTACGTGTCATATGACTTTTGTGTATCGTAATATGGCCCACTCGTTTGTATGAAAGTCATATACCTTCAATTAAATTTTAAATATTTTCCAAGTAATTATTATTTGGGCAAAATGCATTTTTGGTCTTTGGTTTGAGGTAGGTGTCTACTTGGTCCCTGAAGTTTCAGAATGTACAATTTTAGTCATTGAAGTTTAAATTAGGTGTCAACTTAGTTCCTGAAATTTTAAACTGAACCCTTTTGGTCCCTGAAGTTTGAGGGGAAATTGGGATTTTTGACCCCTTTCAATAACTACTCTGGATTTTTGACCCCCTTTTGTTTTTTACTTATTCATGACTCCTTCACCTCAGATTTCTAACCCCTCCCCTTATTTTATCATGTAAATTGACGAAATTGCCCTCATTTCATAATAAATGCATTTATGATATAATAAATTTCCAACCAACCCACCAACC